GTCAATTCATTCAAGGCGGAACAGCACCAGTGCAGTACACTATCAATTAATTTTGAAGTTTCGCGATCCATACTCAGAGGCTCTGGAATCATTACAATTTGAACCCAATTTGTCCTACATAACTACTTGGAGATTGTCAACGAAATTTATCATCATATGGTACTGCAAATATTCCTTGTGATTATTCACGCCAAGGTTTTGCAACCATTCCATTCGATGCAAAGTCAGTGGTGGTTTTCGCCCAGGGCACAACAGACGAAGAAATGCTGGAAAACTTCCGTTCACATATCCCACATGTTGATAAATATATTTTAGACTGGAAAATATCCAAAACACTGCAAGCGGCTCCCGTGCTTGGATGAAGTACCATCAAGGTCATCAGTGTTTGGAACGATGAAAGCCTCCCTGACCTTGTTGTTTTGATCGGTGAAAAGCCGTCGAAATATGAAAGTAGTCACCTGGTTCTGCGGCTTATGGTTTTTTGGCCCTAGTCCTCTTTCCGTTCAATTTTGACTCCATTCAATCACCGGTTTATGTAGTTCTCTTTGTTGCCCACTCTTCTTACTTTTTGATGTTGGAAGTTTCGTGTAATAGTAATGGCCATAGAGTAATCGGTTATAATGGTGACTGCGTTCATGTGAACACCCTTAATGTCAACTACTACGACGACGAATCCCAGACTCCCATCACTAAGAACTTCGGGAAATACGGGGAAGCTGCACATCCCATTTGTAACTTTAGGAGACCACTATATCTGCAGTCCACTCCTGAACCTAAAGAAGAGGTCCACGATACTACGTATAAAGAAGGTCAAATAACTACAATTCAGAACGCTAATTCCTACCGTAATTTGACGTGTGATAAGGAAAACTACAGTGCATCTTGTGCGGTGTCAGGAATATCGAAAAATTTTCTGGATTGCTCACCGGATACATTCGAAAGCTTGGATGTGCAGGCTCCTTTGCTTGATTATCTTGTCAGACATCATGCTATAAGTGGAGAATCTAGTCTCGAAATAATACGGGCAGAAAAATGTGAGCGTCCTTTCTTGCTGCTAAGTGCCATTGGCCTTCCTATTCATAATGGTGGCTTTCGTAGCTCAGGATCATCCAACAGTTGTCCATTCGCCCCACCACAAGGCCTAGCGCTCTTGCTTAACGCATTACGACAGACGGGTCACCATGAACTTGCCAGCTACTTGGACTATAGTAGGCGAATAAATCCATCACCTTCAATATGCAATGGAATGAGTCTTGGATACTGTAAGTCTTTTATAAGTTTACACTACTTTTTCTTAAATGTGCTTCGATGCGAGTGAATTGTTTGAGTTAGTAACCGGCGTATCATTATGATATTGAGGACTTCATATGTATTCGCATGTAGGATTACTAAGTACAATTATTTCGTGAAATTCAATTCTGCGGTTTAACTAAATGTATATAAACGATTCGTCATTCAAGTCTGTAGATAACAGTAGGACTGGTGCTTGTGCTTTTCAGGTTTAACTCGACTGCTTCTTGGCAACAGATCTAACTTAGCCTCAGTATTTTAATCTTGTCTCAAATCTAAGTTGAGACGAACTTGATTTCGAGTGAACAACCACTTGCTTCAATAAGTCCGAGAGGGCGTCCTTTTCTTCTCCAGAATTTATTTACATTTTCGACGACAAGGATTGATGGCCATCTTATGTTGTAAGGCGTTTTGAAGATAGTACGAGATTTTTCTTACTAATGCATCCTTTTCTTTCGGGCGTGATAGTTTTACCTGATGTCATATATGCTAACTCGCTTGCTATTCATCGCCACTAGCTAGCAGTTAGTATGTTCCATTCTCTTCAGGCTTTACAAGCAAACTTTTATTCTATTTTCAGTTGCACGGCGGGTCCTAGTAACTAAGTGGACACGACTAGAACAATAGTGAAAATGAAAGTGAAATGAAAGATCCTAACAACAATGCTTTTTGTAACGTTGCCGTGTTCGCGTATCGACAGAAATAATACATACAACTTGGATATTTGACATTAAACCATGAACTAGAAAATTTCTATGAAGTATTTATCTGGATGACTTCAGAGTTCTTGGTGATCGGAGACAGCGAAATGCTTTTTACGATTTCATGCTACTTGATGCGGCTAATTCCACCAAGAATTCTTCTAATTTTTATACTTATGTTCAAGTGGCGCTCACTTAAAGTAGGGACATTTGCACTATGTCATGGTATCGTCTGTTGAAACGAAATATTTCCGATGAGACATAGACGACAGACAGTATGTAATGGTGGAAGACAAGACACTTGATAACAGAATGTTTATTTACAATATTATATCTCTATATAAGGAAATTGTGTGCATCTTATCTGAAATTCGTCACTTGCACAGATCTTCCGTGTTGTTCTGCTTCTGCCCTTCGTATTGTATTTCTTCTTCGTCTTCTTTTCGTGTTTCCCCTGTTTTGTTTAAACACTGGTTTATTTGATCTCTTTCACGACAAATCTATCTCTGTGCTATATGATATTTTTACGCCGATGTACATCTCTTCATATACTACTGATAAATGTTGTCAGTAGCACACGAGACACACGGTATACTTGCACAAAATATATGCAAATGCAACTTGGTATGTTTAACTCTGAAGTCTGCTGTCCAAGATATGGATGACGAATATGAAGCAAGATTTACTGTCACACAAACTATCAAGACTAGTAGTTCACTGAAACTGATGCACTACTCAGACGTAGGCTTTATCATCACTTATGCTGAGCATAGGAAATGTTTTATTATACTATCTATTTGCAGACATAACAGTGTCTAGTGATGTGGAACACATAACACATTGATTGAAGGCGCAGAAGTCTGAGAAGAGTTCACCATTGTCGTTCATTTCACCGAGGACCTCTCGACCCATGGTGAGTTCTCTTCCTGTGTTGTCTCTTCCCAGCTTTGCATTCATGTCACCCATCAGGATTTTGATATCGCCATTTGGGACGTTGTCCATTATTACTTGTAGTTGTCTGTAGAACGCCTCCTTCTTCTCTTGTTCTGAGACGTTTGTAGGCGCATAGCATTGAATGACTGTAACTTTCCTTCCTTTTGCGTTGAACCTAGCTGTCATTATCCTGGAGGAGATTGGTTCCCACTGTAAGAGAGCTTTGGCTGCTGTTGGTGACATCATGATGGCCACTCCCTCGGTGTGCTCGTGGTTGTCCTCTGGGTGGCCGGAATAGATTATTGTCTCTCCAGTTGGTAGTTGGCACCTCCTAGTTCCGTTCTATCTGCTTTCGCGGATTCCCAACACTTCTATTCTATACCTCCTCATTTCAGCGGCTATCTGGGCAGCCGGAGAAAGTGGAGATGGATCGGAAACTCGCCGAGGAGACCGCTGGGTGACATCGCGCGTCAAGCCCTCGAGTGGAACCCGAAAGGGAAGCAGCGAGTAGGACGTCAGTGCAAGGGTGACATGGAGGAGATCGTGTGAAGAGGAGATGAAAGAGTATGGACTAACATGGATGCAGGTGAAAAGTACGGCAGAAGAGAGACAGAAGCAAGTGGAGAAGTGCAGTTGAAGCCCACTATGTTCCACTAGGAACCCAAGAGAGGAATAATAATAAATAATAATAACACATTGATTACTAGATAAATTAGGCCTGGCAAAGTATGTCTGATACTGTTGCTCAGCAGTTAGTTATAAATACTGTTGTGCAGAGTCTTGACACCTTGAGCTGCAGTCTACAAATGTTTGGCATGCGATTCGCTCCCACAAAATGTAAGATGATGTTACAGGACTGGACTACATCGACTCCTAGATTAGAAATAGGGAGTGAAGTGGTACAGCACCTTGACCGCTTCACTTATTTGGGAAGTACCATCAGCCAATGCCAACGAGTTAATCTCTGACGAAATCTCAGCATGGATACAAAAGGCTAGTTTCGCATATAACAGTTTACGCTGTCTCTGGCATAGACGAGATATCCGGGTGGCTGTTGATCAAAGGGCGGGTGTACTGCTCATCAGTCTGCTCCGTCCTCCTTTATGGCTGTGAGCGAAACCTTGCCACTGAGAGTGGAAGACATGAAAAGATTAGCTGTCTTTGATCATAGGTGCCTGCGCTCCATCTCCCATGTGAAGTGGTATAATAAGGTGGGCAACATAGAGGTTAGGCGTCGAATTCTAGGTAAGGAGGGGAAATCAATCAACCATCGACTGAGATGGTTAGGACATGTGTTACGTATGCCTGGTCATCGCCTTCCTCGACGGTCAATATTAGCTGACATACAGTCAGACTGGAAAAGAGCTAGCGGAGGTCAAACCAAAACATGGCTTCACCAGTCAATGAAATCTACGACAGTTAGTCTGAGGCGCGTAGGAAGGTGTAGACTTCCTGACTTGTTGGGGTCCTCGGGACGGTAAAAAGCAATGGTTGGAAACAATTGGTGACATGGCTCAAAATCGTTCTCAATGACTAGCGCAGATGCATCTACTCCTTGTGACTTATGATTTCCAATGAAACTATTTTGTTCTTCGTTATTACTATTCCTTTGTCTCACACCTCTGTTTACTGTCTGTATTATGCATTTCTTCTACTTTCTTCTCTTGCTTTGTGTGCTACAAGGAGGGAGTGTGGCAACTTGAACTGGCGCACATATGTGCAAAGTTCTATGTCGAAAACAGACAGACTGTTGTGGTCTATTACACGGGACATGCCAGGACTGATGATAAGATCTCATCAAGTGGAAATGTACTCTCATCCTGCTTCTTTGCATGGGTTTGCGTTGCAAGTGCTGTTGTTTTTACGGGTGGTGGTGGTGGTGGAGTTACTAACCTGACGCCTAAACTTCCGTCTTTCCGAGACTTACTACAGGTTAGTAAACTAGGCGAGATTTACAACCACCTCCCGCGTGGCTGACAGGCACTGTATCATCGACGAGGCTCTTATTTCTAAGTTTGTTAACATATGAATGTGAGAGATAAAAAAACAAAAACAAAATAAAACTAAGAGTCTCACCTTCCTTATCAGCTCATCGGTGAAGAATTCGGATGGCAATCGAACTGTTATTTTCAAGTAGAGCACCAATAGACGACCTGAAGATGCGGGAAAGATTATATATATATATATATATTAAATGGTGTATAAATTAGATTTTGGGGTATAATTTTATCTCATGTTAAATAACAAACTAACATCTATTCGGAAACTGTGAAAAAGCGAGGAATACTGGACTTCCATTCCGTTCTAATTTAAGACTCTTAAGCAGTACATACCAGGGATCTAACACAGGACCAGCAGGTTACGAGGTGATCCAGTCATTAAACTCGAAACTAATCGATTTCCTGAAAACTACTAGTGATCGACTACAAGACAAAGTTGTCCGGAGTTCTAGTGAGAAGTTATGATGCATCAGGTTTGGCGTGAGAAAACAAAATGCTCGGCAATGAAAATGACCCGAGATGGTGTTATATTTTCACAGGACCTAGGCTGAATGACCATAAGGCTTGTCTTTTCATTTGAAAGTGCTGCATTCGACTCTCGATAACGCCATGAGTGTGAACTATCGAAGAGTCCCAACTCATGGCGAAACAGCTGTCCAGGACTCCATAGTTTTCAATTGTTCTCTAACTTGATATCGGTCTTTGCTATTACTTGAAACCAATCTAAACCATGGAAACCAACACTTGAAAATGTCTCATACAACACTTATCGACTGTGATTGATGCATTGAAATGAAATATGTACAGTATATATATATATATATCATTTATCGGTCTGCTATAAAATTTAAAAGGAAAAAATCATTGTGCTGTACACACACTGCGACATTGCTTATTTTTATTTTGACTTTATAATGCTGTATATAATCAGACGGCAATCAGCAGGAATGCTGTATAGTAAGTACCTAACACGTTAATTTTTTGTTGTAAAAATGAAGCTTAAGAAAATACAAACAAACAAGCAATCAATGTGAATCTCCTCTCTCTCTTTCTCTCTCTCCGTCCAGTCTATTTTTGCGGCGTTTATTTTTTCAACTTTCTGTCGTCTTTCGATTGATTACTGCTAGAAATAGCAACAGTAATCAATAATCTTTAATATATATACACCTATATGCATATATATATATATATATATATATATATATGTATATATCATGCTGTGAATCGAAAACATAACAACTTTTTGTTCTATAGAAGAATACGATAATCCTATACTACATATTGTGTTTGTCATTTCAATATGATGCCTTTATGAAGGAAGTTGTGAACACTCTCATTTCGAATCAATACAAACTATCAGTTAACACAAAAATCAAAATCAAAATCTATCACAATATCTAAATAAAAATTTAAGGCTATACAGAAAGAGTGATATACATATAGCAGTGATATAGGATAGAATAGAATTGAAGAAATATTTCAATAAATTTGTGATTATTGATGGAGAAATTTCTAATGACTATTAGATGGTTGAAGGCTATCGGCAGGAAACCCCGTCTGACCTAGGTTTCGTGCTAGTAAGGACTAGACACATCACACTAGTTACTAGTGTCCAATCAGACTATTTCATATGTAGTTTGTAGGGAGTGGATTGACTTCAAGTAAGATTACAGGAATAAATAACACAGTTAGAGAACCACTGAGTACCCAGGGAGTCTTAGTTTGGGACTCTTCTGTAGTGTGCACCACCACATGAGATCAACCCCCCCCTCCTTCGAATCTTCAAGTGACACGACAGGCTCATAGATCATTCAACCACTTGAATGGAATCTAATGCTTCAGCCTTTTTAACTTCTGTCAATTTGCGATTTTTTATATTACAACTGCTAGCCAATGTTATCGGTAGGTATTTGACCTCACACACCTGATGTGGTGATGGTGGTGGTGACGGCGGTGTATACTTGAGCAGATGGTTATTTCTATACTTTGAATTTTTCAGTAGCAACAAGGTTAGAGAGATGAACTGATCTGAACATACGTTGAGATGACTGTTGATCCTCGCTCGAGTGGGAACTACTGATATGTATCCACATATATATATTTATGTGTGTGTGTGCATGTTGGTCTCTCTTTCTGTTTGCTCGGTTAGTCTGTGACCACTTCACTTGTATGAACTTGTCTCCTTTAATAATGTGTATTCTCCTTATATTATATTATATATAATATGAGTGTTTGTTGACAGTCCGTAGCTTGGTGACATATATCCATATATGTTTGTTGACATGTCTGCTATATTCGCTATGTATAATTGGATCGACACTCCATTATAATTAGCCATTCATGTTAAGACTGTCTAATGATTTTTCCCACGCTTGTCTGAATTATTTATATATATTCGCATTCACAATTTGTGTGAACTACTTTACAACTACTTGACTTGCTTACCACTTTGGTGTGAGACCATTTATTTTCGTCTCCTTGTATTTGGACAATAGAAGTATCATCGCAAACCTAGTGGTCTTCTGATTTCCGCCTTCTCGCGTCAGGACTATTAGTTTCTCGACCAGTCCATAACAATAATTCAGCGACGAGTACATAACAACTACAAGTTGCACATGACTGTAAGAGTGACATGAAGAGAGGTGTTTTACACCGAAGTGAGACGGCAAAAGCGGATGCCCGGCGCTCTTCACCGGGTTGACTCTCCATTGGATGACAGTCTAGGGGAGATGGTTAAACCCTGATTCCAAACATCCAACGACTGGCGTATGAAGCTCACTGGAGCTCACCTGCAGACGTATGGACAAAGGGCTTATTGGATGCCCTAGATATCTGGCCCCATTCAAAAAGGCGTATGAACCGGAATCCGGTCACCGGCTGCCAATGGATAGTGGACTCCCTACTCCACTCCTACTGCCTTGTAGGTCACACTTGGTTGTGTAAAGGCTAGAGCTGCACTCTCAAGCAAAAGGCCGAGCGATGCTGGGGACATCACTCGTATCTAATTCCCATGAAACTTCATGAACTCTCTACAACATCAACCAAATTCCAGTACTGGTCCAACAACGTCGCCTTCGGTGGTTTGGCCATGTTCTGCGCCGATCAGATGGCGATTTGGTCAAATCAGTTCTAAATCCCTCTCCATTTCCATCTTGGCGATGTCGCAGGGGTGGACAGCTGAAAACATGGCTTGGTACAGTCAAGGCTGATATGGAGTGCTTGGGGCTACAAACCGTCTACGGACTCCGTCTGTGGAACAAGAATTGGATAACTCTGTCGCAAAACTCTGCATCAGATCGCCGCCCCTGGGCAGTGATGATTCGAGATGTTCATGAAGCCAACTCATCCTCCCGTAGGAGATAGCCGAAGTAAAGTAAAGTATGAAGAGATCCACTGTCGTGGAACTAGTTGAAAATAATGGAAGATAAGTGAATGCAATGAGACTTTATGTTCCATTTTGGGGGATCTAGAGAACTAAAAGCAATAGGAATATAATGATTGGATGACTGATCATTTCGGTTGATTCCCTGACTAACTCATCGATCAGATAAAAAAGAATAAACGAATACTAAACACAAATATTGAAATATGACTAGCAGAAATGCAAAAGGTGATGTGAATCATAATGCATAATATCAAAAGTTTGTGTTGAAGATTTAAAAAATATAAGTAAGAGATTGATATATGTTGTATATTACTTATGAGAACGCTCAGAAATAATGTACAATGACAAATATTCAGATGATATAGAGGTAGATCGAGTTCGGGAGATTGGACAGTCGACTGATGACCGTTTTGTAGATATATTTATTATTATTTATTGTTCCCTTGGGTTTCGAGTAGCACGTAGGGCTTCGTAAGCTCGTCTTCGCTCTGTTCTGTTCTCGGAAGTAAGTATATGTAGATTTAGTCAGTTAGAGAGACAGCACTGGATAACTGTTATATATTCTACAGTGGGACTCTAAGCAGTGCGTTTTTACAACCCTACTATAAGAGATGGACACTAAGACCTAATTAGGTTAAAAGGTGAACCTATTAATTATTCAGCCATGGAGATAGAATACAATGACAGGTGAATTCTAACTTCTGTCAGTTCGTGATATTAGTGTCATTACTATCGAATAACATCGGGGCGAGTATCTATCTAATGGTAGGTTCCCATTTATCACAACTTTTTTCATTTAAAACTACAGTAATTCCCGTCGGTTTGCGATGAAATCTACTTTGAGACACCAATGAAATCTCTGCAACTGAACACTTAAAAAGTAATTAACCTTTCTAACTAAAGTTTTTATGAAGATTATGGTTATTTGAATATTGTAAACTTGAGTCAATTTCGGTAGTTAATTGATCTATTGAAGCATAGTGTGAATAAACTGAAAGGTGTTTGAATATAATTTCCTTTAATATGATTTACAGTTGTCAACTCATTTTCTACTGGTCACAGGATTTCATCATGAGCTGACATCAGTTAGAGAACCTATTGAATAACGAAGGAGTACTGAACAGTTGTTTTGCCGTAGTTCGGGACTCTTGATCAGTACACACCCACCGGACCTTCCGGTTAAAAGGCGATCTTGAGGACCATTAAGCCATTGGGACCCAATTCAATGGCTCATAAATTCCAACTTCTGCAAATTCATTTTTTTACTGGTGTATAAAAATGAAAACCAGATAGCTTGACAGGTCTATACAGAAATAAATCGTTCAGACGTCTTCCTTCGATTTATTTTATTTTATTACTTTGCGTTCCAAATAAAACACTATGCTTTAAGCCTGAGCTCTAAAGTTTTAGTAGCAATGTTTATTTTCCGCAGGAGTGGGTTGCTAGCTCCACGCCTAACTTTCCTTCTCCACCAGGTTTGCTACCAGCCGGATGAGGTTCACGAGTGCGTCGACCGAGAGAATCGAATCTGGACCATGCACGCGTGCGTGTGTGTGTGGTTGGCGAGCATTCTTACCACTGAATCAGCGATGCCCTAATCAGCTGTCTAACATCATTTTTACACCAGCATGTAAATCAACATTATTAGAGTAACAATTTACGTAGATATTCTAAATGACTTACTTAAAAATGCTGTAAAACAGTTGTATGTTTCGAGAAGCTCTGGTTGTGATCTAATCCTGTCTATCAATAGGTTAATTTCACTATGCATAGGTTCAATAACCTGCTGAAGGATATTATGAATATATGAATCTGTAATATAACAATGACTGAATGTACACAGAGAAGAAGAAGAAGAAGAGGTTGAATTCAATGAGTTTAACAGTATTTCATCAGCTTGGTCAAGACAACTGCATGCACATTGAAAATCAGCAGATAATAAGGTTTTTCGAAAACTTGATATATCATTACCCAATGGTGTAAATGTAAGCATTCTTGACTTAATCACAAAATCACCCAATTCTTTATGGGCGGTATGATTATCGCCTTCATTATATGTATATGAGGACAAGAGACCACGAATTGACCATAATACCAGAAAACAGACAAATGTGTTGTGACTTTCAATAGTTGGTATCAATGTGAAAAAGTGATTTAAACATCTGCAGAAGCACTGTTTTACATCTGTAAAGTAGAAAACAACGAGAATATGATAAATAACAATGAATATGATGAAGCAGTTTTAAGTGTGTGCTCATACTGACAATAGTAAGCGATGGAATGTTTTTCTCTCTTATGATGTTAATGCTCTTAATCAGTCTTTTATACGCTCTCCTTCCACTATAACTACTTCTAACGTTACTAATCATGTAGCTGATAACTTTCATGACTTTAATACTCTCGATGTACTAAAATGTCTTAAGACACTTAAGCCCTGATAGTGTACCTGCATATGTTCTAAAACAATGTGCAGATGCTTTATGTTCTCCTCTAACTAATATCCTAAATGCTTCTTTCTCCGAAAACGTTGTACCTGTTCCATGGAAAGACATTAAAATAGTCCCTGTCCCTAAACCTGGCAAGAGCAAGAACGTAAAGTTCAGGCCCATTGCCATCACTTCCCCGCTTCTAAAGCTTATGGAAAAACTAGTACTTCTTTAACTTGAACCTTCCCTTAAAAGCCTTGAAGACCCCAAACAGTTTGCCTATAGACAGGATAGGTGCACTTTAGACGCTGCAGCCGTCTTACACAACAGTATCGTCTCATCATTAGATAAATGTGCAAAATACGTCCGCTGCACGTTTCTCGACTTCACTTCTGCTTTCGACTCTGTACCTAGATGTCTCCTGCTAAATAAGCTCTCTATAACAAACTGAGTCCTGGGTCACTAACTGGTTGCATTCCTACTTCTCTAACAGAATACAGTACACTGTATACAAAGACAAATCCTTCTCTGCTGTGCTCACTGAAGCTGGTGTCCCCCAAGGTGCTGTACTCTCCCCACTTCTCTTTTCTTTCTTTCTACATGACTTACCATACTCAAATGACATTAATTTTGTCAAATATGCTGACGAACTGACTGTATCTCTGCCTGTCAAATGTCAGAGTGACTGCTTTAAACTAAATGGCTTCTTATCAGAAATCAGCCAGTGGTCCAAGAAAAACGGTCTTACCTTAAACCCCTCCAAATGCCAGACAGTCAATTTCACCTTTAGGCATAAATCTGACCTAGACAAACTGGTTAGCATTCACGAGGTGTGCAACATGGATGGCACTGAAATAGAAACCAAGTCGAGAATTAAACAACTAGGCGTCATTCTATCTGCTGATGTTTCCTGGTCGTCTCATATATTGAGGATTTCTAAGAAAATATACCGTCTTACCTTCTACATCAAGAAGTTAAGACATTCTGAAATAACCCAACCCTTACTCCTACAATTTGTTAACTCCCGCATTCTGCCTATTATTCTCTAATGTTCCCCATTAGTTTTTCCTGGGCTGGGCTACTGAAGAAAGACTATACCTTATTACGCAGAATGTTAAAGGTTGTCAGCAGGGTAAGTCACAGGGTGCCACTTAACCAGCTTGTTAATATTCTGGTTTACAGGCACTTGGACTCATGTGAAAAATGGGCTAAATCCATTCTATCTATCTAACTCACACCACCCTCTTCATTCACAACTCTCTCCCTGTATCTCATCAGGGAAAACCAGAAGCCTATATAGAAATCTATATCCTCGCACTAGTAAGTACAAAAACTCAACCATACCCTACTTGGCTCGTTCGTGTTCTGTGCGATAAAGAAAGCATTAGGCGTGATACCTATAACTTATTAAATAGTCAGTAGAACAACTGGATCTCGTCTTTCCAACTCATATCATTTACAGGTATAACGTTTTCTTTCTTTCTTTTCCTTTTCTCTCTCCCACATTTTTTCTCTGTTATGTGCTCCTTTGTTTCTTTTTTCTGCCTACGTCAGTAAACATGTTATCATCTACTTTTCTAACACCTTCAAACACTCTGTTCAATTTTTGGCTTTGCTGCCAACAAACCAATATGTTCTTGTCATAATGAAATGAGATTTCCTTAATCTATGGAGAATTTTATTTTATTGATAATGTACTATCTGGATGCAATACTGTATGTAGTGGAATGCTGAGAATTCCGATCTGTATCACAATTACTGTTTTGGAATAAAGCAAATTATTATTATTATTAACATGGGGAATTTCTACTATTCTAAAGAAGTTCAAGTGCTGTGCATTCATAGTTCTTCATTTCAAAGAAATGAACAGATTTCGGTGTAAAATGGGTTTATATTGCCTTCTAAAGTGTCTTGTGATACACTGATATGAGAATAGAATTTGAGCACTGTGAGAGAAAGAATAAATTTTTGTGTGATAAAACATCTATCACATCACCTTGATATAATTATGACAAGTAAATTATGCCCGAAATGTTGTCATCAGTATATTAAATAATACTGTGTCACTGTGTTATGTCAAATAAAAATATTCTATTCTGCTTTTATGCATGCTAATTACTTCAAATGTATGAATCATTTAACCTAGAAACAGTCGTCCAGTTACTTTCCGTATTTATGGTGACAGAAAGCTGCCGACTATCGTGACTCAATCTGATTGGAATCTCAGGCTTCAGTAGCACATCTCCATTCCAGCTTGTTCTCTATAGTCCCTTTAGCCTGGCTCCACGACTGCTCATAATTCATCATTCTATCCTTGCAGGATCTCCTAAATGTCATCCTTGAGCGCGAAATTTATCGTTTCCCATTCGGATTCTACTCAGCAGCCTGGCACCTGACGTCTCACTCAACACTCTCCTCTGAGTATGCTCAGCTCAGTCAATCTCGAATTACATCGACATACTCGTCGTTTAATAGGTTTCATCTCCGGTTCATTGTCAGACTTTCTTGTTGATAACCCTTTCTAGCCCACCACCTGATCTACACCATCGAGACAGTGAAGATAGCCGTTGATGATACTCTAGAGCCTGTTGGAAATGCTTTTGGTAAGATTTGCGCCAAGTCTCTGAATCACATAGAATCACTGACTTTGACATTAGTGGTGAAAATTAAAATCTCCTTCCTTAAGTTAGCTGAATGCGGTCGACTTCCACACTAATCTTAGAGCAATGAAGGTCTCCCTTGATTTCCACATCCGGGTTTTCACATCATGTCGCCTCCTCACGTTGAGACGATCCTGTCTACGACATATAGGTGAATCAAGTTGTGGTGAGAGCTGGATGTTAGTCAAAACTGGTGGACAGTAATTGACGTCGACGTTTATATCCCCAATATTGGTCGTGAGAAAAATGAGAACAAAGGCTTTGCGTAGGCGGATACAGTTAGCAGATAGATGATCTGATATTCAAGAAACAGACGCAAAGAGATGCAAGGTTAACTTTCTGTGAGAAACAACCATCAAACAGAAGGCTGTGTTTTTCTGCTAACAATAATCTATAATATGTACATGAAAATCTATAAATACGTGTTGATTTTCGTTAATAAACGATCAGCTGCCTGACCCTTGTCTTCTGTTGTTACAAAGTGACTTCCTCTAAATGTCTCCCGTTGATATTGGTTGGTTGGCTGTTTGGTTCCTGTAGTTGCTTTTCGGTGGTGGTTAGGTAATTTCATCACTTTTCTCTTCTCCATGTTTACTTGAATTCGTGTCTTTGCTGCCTGTTTCTTCTGACAACTTGTTGGTTTTCGTCGGTAGATCTTCAAGTTTGTTGTAACATTAGACATAAATCGTCTACGAAGTCCATATCTCCTAGATACTTGTAATCGGTTCAGCGTATCCCAGTTTTTCCACTCCCAGTACTCTGTCACATAATCGAGTCCACCACAATCAGGAATATCATCATTAGCATATAATTCGATATTAATTTGGTCATCCAACAAACAAATTGAAATAGTATTATTTCGAACACAATTTATTGTTCAAAATCATATTATGTGTAATTATATGCACCTTCAAAACTCAATTTTTGTCAGTCTCATTCTTCTTTCTCATTTGTCATACGAGTGGCAGAATTTTTCAAATGTCTGGAACAGGTGTTGAATTATTCGTATTAGTTGTGTACTGGTCGAGAATTTAATAGTCCTGACGCAAGAAAAACGGAAATCAGAATACCACTAGGTTTGCGATGATACTTCTATTTTCCAAACACAAGGAGAATCAATATGCCCCACAAGAGTGTGAGAGCAAAAATATATATGAATGTCCGAACAGGTGTGTGAACAATCAATAGACAGTCTTAACATGATTGGCTAATTATAATGGAATATCGATCCATATATACATAGCAAATATACAGACTGTCAAACAAACACACATTATATGGATAAATATCACCAAGATCAGACTGTCAAACAACACACATATTATATGGATATATATCAGTATTCTATATATTCTTATTTGGACAGCCACCTACCTAACATGGTGGCTACAGTAGAAAGTTGTCTGAGAGAATTCAGTCTGCAGGAAACATAGGACTAGACACTTGACATCATTTAATGTCCATTCAAATTATGCGATATAGGTGGTCAATCGCGAGCCCAAATAGCTCAATGTTTCTTGTAATATGATCGTAATAAAGCTTGAATCTCCAATCACTAGTCTTGTTCTCTTCAATACCGATATTCTCATTGATACATTTCAGTAGTGTAGTCGGTATACTAAAATCAAGACTGTTACTATTAAAACTGTTGCCTAAAGATTGATTGAGTTTCAACATAGAGCCTAACACACAAATTCAGCAGTTCAAGTTGGCCACATTCTATGTAGCACACAAAGGTAGGGGAAAAAGAGAGAAAAGGAATTCACAGTGCTATAAATAAGCAGAAATGCGAGGTTGGCAGAATATTAACATGGAAAGACATTGGGATTTTGTAATGTACTGCTAAGTGGTTAATAGAGTTTTCCCCGTCGCCAATTATGTTATGTACTCGTCGAGTAGTTAATAGTCCTGAAGCAGAAAGAGGGAAATCAGAAGACCACCAGGTTTACGATGATACTTGTATTTTCCAGACAAGGAAAATAAATGTCATACAAGAGTGTGAGTGAAATGGTACGTAGTGTACGAAACGTGGGAACAAGTGTCCAGTACAAAAGGATATATGAAAATGACTAATACACATGAACCAATAAGATAGTCATCTTAACATGATTGGTTGTAATGTCATGTGATAACAAGGTCATACATTGTTTATTTAGTTAGTGGACAAACAAAAGCATATTGCCAGTTATAATGAAATATCAATCCATATGCACATAGCAAAATATAATAGACTGTCAAAAACAAAACACACATATGGATACATATCAGATTTAATAGATGATAATGGAAAGCACAAAGAGCAAATGCATCTACGCCACTGAGAATAGTCTGTAGACATTAGCTCTTAACGTCCTGAGGAGCCTCCTTCCCCCAACCTCTCTAAGTGATTGGCTTATACCAACAATGAAAGACTTCATGGACTGATGATAGGTTTGGGGTTGACGCACTCCTAGATCTTTTCCAAATCTAATCCTACACCTGATGCATCAATGTATAGAAATGATTTCAGATTTGAGAAGATCTAACATACACACAATCAAATACACCTTGTACAGTCTTCAGTTAACATATCCGTAAGTGAAGTCTAAATTAATGCCTTTCTTTTCGTACGTTAGTGTTTGAAAGAAATCTTAACAAAACTTATGATCAACCAGATGGTTGTTTGTTACATAACATATGCAGAATGAAAAAGAAACGAAACAAACAAACACGAACAGATAGATAATCCTACAAAGCAGACAATTCAGATACCTGGTAATATTTTAGACAGACTGTAGACGAATAGAAAAATAACGGATAGACACACACATGTGTACATGTAAAACTGTAGACATCATGGAAGCTGAAGGCAGCACGAGCAGTATAATCGTATATATACACACACACACATGAACACATACAAGCAACACAAAATTGAAACTGCAACTAATTGATTGCATTTCCTAATAATTATATCATGCATTGTATCATAAGATGAATGTATGTACTATACATAGATATTTTCGATTCGAGTTGATAGACTATATAATCATTTTACAAAACAATTTTGATAATGTACCAAGTAAAATCAATGTTTATGATTATGGGAGAAGATGAAACTTTATTTCACGTAAAACAAGAATAACAGGTGTTGTCAATTATATCTAGATCGCAAAGATCCTGGATCAATCATTGGTTTCAGAAGACCAGCCCTAGTCATATAGAATACTATACAGGGTAGCCGACGAGGAATAACAGAAAATAATAGGGCAATATAACTGTTTATTCTCCCACTGATAATGAAACAGTTTTCTGTCAACCAGTATAGGATTAAGCAACGACAACCTTCTTGTCTCCCGCCAATGAAGACCTGTTCGAATAAACAAGCGATTTAGTGTTCATCATTATTGGCAGGTGTATTTAAACTGTAGACACCCAACAGGCACAAAAAGCACCAATGACTATTCGAAAGCTCAATCAAAGAAGGGTAGTGAGACCAGATAAATACGTTGAATGGAGTGTAATAATATGAAACAGGATATCGTGTTAGATTTAGGTTAAGTTTACGCTAAGGAAAGATTAAGGTTAGATTAAGTTAAAGTTGAGGAAAGATTAGGGTTAAGAAACCGAATTTGATTTCAAGCGACATTACTCCTCCGAAGGTCATTGAGTGTCTAAAGCTGAGCTTTGCCGAATAACAAAGTTATCGACTTCTATTATTACAATCAATAAAAGAGCACTTGTGTTTTTAGGTGGATGCAGAAAATGTCCCATGATTGCATTTACACACACGGTGATTGCACAGATGAGGTGAACAAGACTAGTGAGGCTGGAAGTGATGATTTCACTTAACTGTACATTAAGACAATCATAAGCCTTACATTGATCGCACAATTTATGATTATGAGGAATAATTTGTGCTCGAAACGTCATCACTTAATATTACTGTACAACACTGTGTGACTTATCAAAATAAAATCTGATCTAAAATGGAGTTATACTCTACCACAGTGCCCCAAGTTTTATGCTCATATGTATAATCTATGTTTGGATGAAATTGTAGAGCTACGCATAATCATCATCATTATTATTATCGAACAGAGCACTGAATAGTAGTCAAATCTCTGTATCTCAACTTCATCGACATTGAAAAGGCCATCAATAGCGTTAATTTTGAAGTAATTTAGAAAGTGATTTAACACTATGGAGTGCTGCCATAAACCGTCATCAAGCTAATTGAACAGCTTTTTGATGATGCCACAAGTCAACAAATTCACAACGGAAAGCTCAAAGAACACTTTGAAAAGAAGACAGGAGTACAATAAGACTGCCAACTATCAATAATAGTATTCCTGATTACGGTGGACTCGATTATGCGACAGACTGTTAGGAGTGACAAAACGAAAATACGCTGGACCGATTACACGTATCTAGGCGATTTGGACTTCGTGGACGACTTATGTCTAATGACACAACAAGCTTAAAGGCCTACAAACAAAAACCAACAAGTTGTCAGAGGAGATAGACAGTGATAACAGGACTTCAAGTAAACATGGAGAGGACAGAAGTGATGAAATTACCTAACCACCACCAAAAACAACTACAGGAACCAACCAACCAACCACCCTACATCAACGGGAGACATTTTGAGGAAGTCGTCTGATTCATTTACACGTCGTAGACAGGATCATCTCAACTAGAGGAGGTGACATGGATGAAGATGTTGAAACCCGGATGGGGAAATGAAGAGAGGCCTTCGTTTCTCTGAGATTACTGTGTAAATCTCCAGCACTCAGCTAACATAAGGAAGGAGATTTGAATTTTCACCACTAAAGTCAAGTCAAGGGAAATCGAGGTTGACTGATGAACAAAGGGTGAGGAAAGCGTTGAGTGACATCAGGTTCCAGGCTACTGAATGGAACCCGAATGGGAAACGACGAGTTATAGTAGTCTCAGAGTGACACGGAGGAGGAGACGAAAGATTCACTTCGATATGTTTTATTCTGTTTAAACGAACTTGTGTGCATCGGAAGCATAGCGACTAGGACGCTTGCCGACCATGAACATAGTACGGGGTTCGATCCCCGGCCCCAGATACACTCCTTCACATCGCTAAGCCAGAAATAATGCTCGTAAAGAGGAAAGGTTGGGCTTGCGGCTATCAACCCCATCATGTTAGATAGACACTGCTACAGAAACTTCAAGCCACTAGCTTGAAGCCCTATGTTCTATTGGGGAAAGTGAAGGAAAGAACAGATAACGAACCTGTATGGATGAAGCTAGTTAAAATGCTGTGATATTAGAATTTAAAACATACTTCCTAAGATGGTATGAATAAATATCGGTAGTGATAAAAAAATACTGGCCTATATTTTACTTAGATCTAGAAATTGCTTCAATACCTTCACATCTGTTCTCATTGCCAATGCACGAACTCTGTATCACACACACACAGAGGTTATCACTACTGAGGAAAGTGGGTTAAATATACAAATAATCTGAGAGTGATTCAACTAATTTAAGTTAATTTCAAATAGGTTTATTAAAAAAAATACTTACTTGTAAAACATTCATCATCAGTCTTATTTAGCAAAGACGCAACTGTTTGTGAAAATACCGACAACAGAAGAGGATTCGAACACTTGATGTGATGAAGAAGATTCTCAATATTATTTACAAAGAAACCCAATAAACTAACAGGATTTTCTGATTTTATTACCTTAAAACAAAACAAAATACAAGTTAATCATTGTATTATATATGAAATTAGTAAATCAGAGAAAATGAGTTTTCACAGTATATTCACAGATTGTAAACTATCAGTAGCTACAGACACTTAGAGGAAGTCAAATAACAAACTAGCGGATCAGTAATTCAAACTTTTACGGATATGCATCATCCTATTGATGCAGTCGAGTAAAATAAACGATTCTAAGAGAAGACACCGGATTGATAGCAGTAGGCAAAAATCTAAGCTAACTGAAGCAAGTGCCACGTAGTGAAGCTGAGCAATGTTGTAACGTGGAGTTACCCCGAAGCATGCTCTGATCGATTACTCTGCAAGCGAGTTTTCACTTAGGCTTTAAGAGGAACTTCAGTGTAGATTTCGTCAGGAACTGACATTACTTAGAAATTCTTTGGAAACCGAAGAGCGCTAGGATAGTTAATTTTGTCCTACCTTGTGACTCTTCAGCGAATCGTTTCCACAACTCAGTCAGAGATCGAAACCAAATCCTATATATTATGAGATTAACACATTGACTAATCCTCAGCTACTGAGTTGGAATTCACCTACCCATGGATTCAGACTTCTGTCGGTTGGCAGTGTAGAGCTACCATCAACTAATGCCATTCATTGATGAGTATCCACTTGACAGTTGACATTAGTGAACTCTACCCCAAAGGAAAAAAGTGAACCTCAGGTGTTATACTTAATATTAAATATTCACACCAAATACCTCCATTTTTTTAAAATTCAACAATAGTTTTACCAATGATTTATTTCAGTTTTTCTATCTACGGGTTTAAATCACCGACATTCTGATGTCTGTTCGTCGTTGTGTATGTATGGAGTCACGAAAGACATTTTTCAAAAACACTGTATAATGTTGTAGAAAAAAGACAATGACCAAATTTAGACCATGAAGAAAATAAAAGACAGATTTAGTGAAGAAAATTTTCTTTACCGACGAAATCATGTTCAGAAGGTGTTATTATTATTGTTCTCTTGGGTTCCTAGTGGAACATAGGGCTTCAACTGCACGTTTTCACTTGCCACTTCTGTCTCTCTTCTGCTGTACTTTTCACCTGCATCCATGTTAGTCCATACCGTTTCAACTCCTCTTCACACGATCTCCTCCATGTCACCCTTGCACACACGACCCACTCGCCGCTTCCCTTTCGGCCTGGTTCCACTCGAGCAATGGCCTCACGCGCGCGCGATGTCACCCAGCGGCCTCCTCAGCGAGTGAGTGTCCAATCCATCCCAATTCACTTTCTCCTGCATATTTGTTAGTTGGCGATTGGTTCTTCCTTTGTTTGTTTGTTCCCAGCCAGAGTTTCTTGTTGGTGATTCTTTCCAGCCCGTCTCTCTCATCTGATCTTCAGTATAGAGCTAGCGAAGACAGTTGTTGGTTGATAAAGGTAACGTCTGCAACAGGCTGTTAGAAATATTCTTTGTGACCCGTCTGCCCGTCAAGTTTCTGATCCGATCCGTATAGAAGAGCTGAGTGACTTGACGTTTGTATTGAAAATCAGACTGGATTTTGTTGTTGATTCTGGCTGAGTGACGAAGATATCCAGATTGATTTCAGGTTGGTTGACGAATGTGTTTCTCGCCTTCCCGATTCTCGCTCGACTTGACATCCTCGTTCATTCCGACTTCCTGTAGTTGAGACAATGCTCAATGCTAGATAAGTGAATGAATGAAGTAACCTGTTTCAAATCCCTTCCGTTGATGGTGATTGGCGCTGGATGTTGCTGTTGTTGTTGTTGACTGGTTATTTTCATAACCTCCGTCTTGTCTATGTTCACCTGGAGTCCTGTCTCCGCCGGCTGCTTCTTCGACCAGTTTGCCGGTCGGTTTTCGCTTGTAAGTCTTCGATTTTGTGTGTGTGACATCAAACATAAATCATCCACACGCGAAATTCAGGTCTTCTAGGTTCTTCACGTCGCTCCAGGATATCCCTGCCTGCTCGTTTCCCACTCACTGTCTGACGCCTAATCCAGTCAGCCCACCACAATTAGGAATATCATTGGTGGGTGATAATAATCACCCTTGTCTGACTCCTGTGTTTACTCCAAATGACGCGCTGAGTTTTCTATTGTGGACCCCCTGACATGTGCCGTTGTCGTACAGCTGTTGAATAAGGTCGATGAATATTTGGGCACTGCAAGCCGTAGTACTCGAGTAGTTTCCAAATTACTTCGCGGTCAACGCTGTCGAAGGCCTTCTCAAAGTCTATAAAGTTGAGGTAGAGGTTTGATTGCCATTCCATGCTTTGTTCTGTGGTGATGATGATGATGCGTAGAGTTGCAATTTGGTCAGAACATGATTAGCCTTTCCTGAACCCAGCTTGTTCTGGTGGGAGTTCTGTATCCATTGTGTTCTTTATTCTCTCCAGAATGATGTGACTCAGAATTTTATTTGGCGTCGCCTAGACTACTAGTTCACTAGTTTTCTAGCCGGTCCCAAGTCCGGATAAAGAGGGAAGGCTGGGGGTGTGGTGTTAGCAACTCCACCCCCAAAACTTAACCAAATCGATACAGAATCTTCAATGCACAAATATATTAAATTCAGGTGTTAAGTCGTATTATTTATATTTACCAAAAATGTATACTAGTCTATCATTGAGTAATAACAACTGGCGTGACATAATTGAAATAATTACTCAAAAGTGTCTACAGAAGTAAAAATCAAAGTTATGAATTACGTAATACTCAACGGCACAAAAAAAGAAAGAAATAAAGCGTTAGAAATTTGATAATGTTAAGATTGTTATTGAATGAGAAGAAAGGTAGTTTAGTGTCTATTTAACATATGTGAAGAGGGTGAGAAAAAGTACAAAAGGAACATGTGAGGGTGACAATAGCGAATTAATTATTAAAGTAAAAGCAAACTAATTATTGAAAATAAAAAAAATACAGGGAACGGCTAATGAAGAGGTTAAGACCATGGTGGAATAAAAAGAGTGGATAAACTTTTTCTGTATACAGAGTTCGGGGTTGTAGTGACGAATTGTCAACACCTTCACCATACAAAAATGCCGAAATATGACGCCCTTGTAGATAATCTTGAAAGACAACTCAGGTGGAGCTGTGTGGTTTGAGTTCACTAAGTGCTCGAGAATTGAGCTAGTAGCAGTCTTGAATTGTCCTTTTGCTAACTACGCCGGATAATGTTCAGAGATGCGTTTGAATAGTGTGCGCTTTGGATGTGCGGCCAATATAACTGGCTACACACCAGCAGGTGAATTTATAAAAACACACACTGAAGTGTCTCAAAGCGACAGTTTATCCTTCATTCGTCCACTGATCATTTGTCGGTTGTAAAATGATCAGTAGTTCAGCCTAAAGAGAAGGCTTTTCCCAGTGATCTGCACAAGCGGTTCTTCTGGATCTCAGCAACGGTATCACCTTTAAATTCAACGTTCATAAATAACAGTTTCTTCGGTACCGTCTGGGTTTTTTCAGTTCTTTCATCGGTAAAGAAAATTTCCTCCGCTGAAATGTCTTTTATATTCATGATTCAATGGGTATTTTCGGAAATTTGAATCAGTTGATTAACAAGAACGAGAGGTTGAGGAGGGCAGAGATAACTGGATAACAGAACTACGAGACCCCAAAATAGGAATGATCTGTGTTACTACAACCTTTTGTTATACAGTTGAGATATTACTGACATTTTTTTGAGAATATCACAAGTTTGAATTCAAGTTCAAATATCGTATGCAATTTAAACAATTCCTTGGAAAAGACAAATAACTATTATTCACTTACATCTGGTCGTAGTCCAGAAATAATTCCACATATGATCGTAAACAGGCCAAGAGTAAGCGGAGATGGATACTAAGATAATAATAATAATAATAATAATAATAATGAAATTCAGCATATTCCAATTTACAATAATATAAAATGGTTCTCTAACCGATGTCAGTTCATGGTGAAGTCCTGAAACATAAAAATGCATTCCCATATTGAACTGTAATAGACATTTTAAAATGAAATTAGTCCTTATCGTATAATCTGACTATCTCCGACCCACTTGTAGTTTTGCAACAACAGAAGACAAGGGTAAGGCAGCTGATCGTTTATTAAGGAAAATCAACACATATTTATAGATTTTCATGTACATATTATAGATTATTGTTAGCAGAAAAACACAGCCTTCTGATTGATGGTTGTTTCTCACAGAAAGTTAACCTTGCATCTCTTTGTGACTGTTTCTTGAATGTAAAATCATCTATATATACTAACTGTATCCGCCTACGCAAAGCCTTTGTTCACATTTGTCTCACGACCAATATTGGGGACATAAACATTGACGTAAGTTACTGTCTACCAATCTTGGCTAGTAGCCAGCTCTCACCACAGTTTGACCTATGTAGTCGAGACCAGAGTCATTAGAAGGTATTTTGCAGACACAAGAGTTTAGCTAAGTCTAGAATAGCTGAGCCCACAAAGATGAGTCAGTTTAGTGAAAAACCCAGCGATTGCAATGCATGCATTAATACGCAATAAGGTAGGGTAATGTAGGTAGATCGAGGGGGAGGTCGATCACTGAATGTTTGTTCATCAAGTGAGTCTACATCTAACACATGCAGTAGAAATGACACGACGGCAATATCAGAGAGATATTTTGAAAATATTACTACCAATCAAATCGAAGCAATAATAAATAATGGAATTATATAAACGAAGTTGGAAATTTATGTAAGTGCTTCGATACTATAATGAGCAATAAAGTGTGCTCGAAACTTCATCGGTTAATAATACTGCATATGAACTCTGAATATATATATATTTATTTTTTTATTTTGATTACAGCTTGATTACACACAGTATTTTTGGTACAAGTATGGAATTTTCAGCGTGGATATCGGTAGCCCAAATTTTGCAGGCCGACCATGGATATCAGGTGTGCGTCAGCGAGGGCTCGAACCCCAGACCATGTGCATATATATATATATATATATATATATATATATATATATATATATATAAAGCATTTAATAAACAAAATAGGTAAATAAAAGCAAAGGTTAACTGAAAATCATTCTGCGGAACTTATGAATATTCCTACTTTCTCTTTCACTGGATTTTATAATCTGCTGTGGACATGAGAATATCACCTTCTAGGAGTGATGCTTAAAAAATGCCTTTGATTTCAAGTTGATGCGATTTATTATATTACTATATTTATTATATCCTTTAATTCCTAGAGGAATATAGGGCTTCAGCTGCACGTCTCCATTGCCATCGGTTTTCTGCCAACGTTTTCACCACTCTCAAAGTCTGCCAACACGCTTTCATCTCCTCCTCCCATGACCTCCTCCAAGTCACCCTTGCACCGACGAACAACTCGCCAATTTCCTTTCGGGTTCCACTTGAACAATGGCTTGTCTAGTGATGTCACTTGATGGTTTCCTCAGACTATGACCAGCCAATCCATCTCCATTTCTTCCTGCCTATTTGTTTCAAAATTGGTTCCTGCTGTGTTGGTTCGCTCATTGCCAGAGATCCCTCTATGTTGCTGATCTTTTCTGACAGACCATCTGATCTTGAGCGGAGTACTGAGCGAAGATAACTGTTAATGAAGGTCTGAAGTTTGTTTGAGATGCTCTTTATGACGCGCTGGCCAAGTCTCTGATCCAATCGTATAGTAGCACTGACTGACTTCACATTGGAGTCGAAAATCCGGATCTTATTTTGCATGCTGAGTGATGTTGACCTCTACACAGACTTAAGGGTAATGAAAGCCTTTCTTGCTTTTCCGATTCTGGTTTTGATATCCTCGCCAGTTCCGCCTGTAATTGAAACGATGCCTCCCAGGTTCTTTCAGGTTGATGCGATATGACGCAAAAATCACATCCTGTTTGTATGTACCTTACATTTTAGACTGTGTTATGACAAGTGTATCCCTTCTCAAGAAAAAAACAAAACAAAAATAGCCGAATGGATGCCACTTGAGCAATTTAAGCTTACGTGATTTGTATTCACTTCATCATAGTAGTCTTTGTACAGATGATAGAGAAGTATTTGGTCGCTGTAATGGAAACAAAAGATTTTTAGAAAAAATATGAAAGAATACAAACTTGCATTTCTTCCTTCAAAATTTATCCAGAAGTAATAATAATGTGCATTGGCAGTTCATTAGCAGAATGCTTACCAACCAGGCATGTAATCCAGGTTCGATTCCCAGCCGACGCCTATCCCCCCCCCCACTAATCCTTGGTCAACCGGTAACTATCCAGTAAACAGAGAAGGTTCGACGTGAACTTGACACCCCATCCCTTAAAGGAATGACTGCTAGTAAAACTGCAAAAGCTTTGGGCCCTTAAATTCCAATCGAAAAACACAAAAAAGGCACACACACAGAGAAATAAATTCTGTGATAGGTTAGTATTTCAGATGAATTGTTCCTCAGAAAGCTAATGACCAAGCACTCACTGAAGGATCCATTTGAGTTTGTGGATTCAGTAAGTGAAGTGGATGCAACTGGGTTAGCTGAACGTAATTTCCCCACTCAGCTTTATCCCCTTAAAGGAAACTTTATACAACTTATGTGAATTTATCGATCCAAATAATTTGGATGTTTTTATGCCAATTAAGCATACCAAGGAATTAATCTGGAGATGCACACTCAATGTTCAGTATTTGTTCAATGGTCAGATATACTGACAGAAAGATGCAGTAGCACTGGGTCTCCACCTAATCTATGGCTCACCAATTGCTTTATGACTTACCTCAAGTCAAATATTCTCCTACTAACAATGAAAGCGGTATGTGGTTGATATCTTTATCATTACCGATGAAAATACTGACCTTAACAAAATCCTACAAATTTTCAACAACGCTCATCAGTCTATCGGATTTAAAACTGAGGCGGAATCACACGGTAAATTATCTTTCCTAGATTTCCAGTTTACAAGACGATCAGATGAAAGTCTACAAAGGCCATGATCATGGAAATTAGTGTTAGTAACCAGTGTAATGCTTCTAGTCCTTTCTTTGATGTAGACTCAATTCTGTCAAGTCAAGTTTTCAATGTCGCAATCATACTAAATAGTTCGCCATCACGTTGTAGTGTGAATTGTTACTAGTTAGCTAACTAGTGTCCAATCAGAGTATTCAATACAGTCCTACGACAAGTCAATCGCGAGGCCGTGGTAACATCCCTGACTGCAGCACTGGGTGACATAAGTTCCAATCTTAAGAGCGATATGAGTTCTTTTTGATGTGGTTTTGTTCTCTGAGCTAGGCGGTTAGTTTGCGAAGCTTTCATCACCCTACTGGGTGACATCTTCAGCGCATACTTCCATTGGGAGTGAGCTTTTAGATTTCTCCACGAGTTTATTAATCATCCCTCCTGGTGACCTTGGACGTGATTGGTTGTTTATGTGTGTTTTTACATATGAGTTCCTTCAGCATTGTAGACATGCCTTACTGGCTAGTGAGTAACAACCAGTACGAAGCCGAGGTCAGCCAAACTGGGCATCCTGCCGATTACCTCTAACCATCTAATATAAGCTCGTAGTTTAATTAATTCATTGTACAAAAAGTAGGTGGCCAGTAAATAAACCATTCAGTACATTAAAACAAGAGAGAAAAGGTTACCGTTATTATTATTATTAACAATAGTAATAATCATAACACCTGGTATATTTGTTCACATTCAAAAAGATAAAGTTAAATATCGATCTAAATGATGACCATGATATGAAGTGTGTATTATTGATTTTTAACATATAAGCATGAAATCCTGCTAGTTTTTACTGTGCATATACGTAAAAAGCGTTCTGTTTGTTGTATTCACATAATTTATTTGCTTTCATTGAACCAATTCGTTAGTTTGATAAAGATATACAGAAAACATTATAATAAACATACATGCGCATGCGTATCCACACAAATAAACACAGAAACACACATATGCACAATACACACAAACGAGTTGTTGTCCAATTTTACAGTTATATATACATACACACACACACGTCATTTACCAAAATACCATTTGTTTTTGATCAATATTTACATATTTTAAAAATAATAAAAAGTAAGTAGGTATCTGGAAATTGAATGTGAATACCTGCCTAACTGTTCTGTAATGAGATATATATGTTTATGACGGCTATACTTTAACAGGTGGTAGGATATTACATACAGTATGAAAGTGTCCTAAAGGGAATCGAAAAGGCGATTCACACACGCACACACACTGATGTTTGCTATTCAACCAACAATTCTTCTAGTTACTGTGCAAATGTAGCAAACAGACTAAACCATCTTATTGTATGGAGGATTTCATCATAGGATGATATCAGTTAGATAACCACTGAAAAACCAACTGAGAGTACTGGACAGCTGTTTCGTCCTAGTTCGGGACTCTTCAGTAGTATGCAGCCTCCGGGGTTTGAACCCAGGACCTTCTGGTTACAAGGCGAGCTCGTAGACCATTGAGCTACTGGGACCCAATCCAATGGTTCTTGAAATCTAACTTCTGCCATCTTAGAAAATAACAAAATCACAGAACTACACATATATAATCATCATCAAATGCGGATATGCAAGTCATTGCTCTAGGAACTGAATTCTTTGTGCTCAGCTAAATCAGTAGTGTAATTAAAACCATCAACAATTCTGTATTTTATCCGCTCGTCCGCAAAGCATTGAAGAATCTTTTCGTATCAACTTTATCGAATAGTGAGTAAGTATTCCTAAATGTCTCGACAAGCAACAGAGGCAATTACAAGTCTTTTTTGAAACAACCAGAGCTGTGTATGCATAACAAACAGGTTCAGGCACTATTACTACCCCCAGGTCTGTTGTGGAATCTATTAATTCATCCAATTCTGCACTAATTTGCTTAAAATTTATCTTATATTCAGTTTAATACGACATTTTTATGTATATTATTGCTTATTGATGTTTTCCAACTGTATTCTAACGACATTATAGTTATTTAAACCTCTAATGTGGTTGATAACGATAATTCTCGAATCCTAGAAGACCTGAATTTCGCGCGTGGATGATTTATGTTTGATGTCACACACACAAAATCGAAGACTTACAAGCGAAAACCGACCGACAAACTGGTCGAAAAAGCAGCCGGCGGAGACAGGACTCCAGGTGAACATAGACAAGACGGAGGTTATGAAAATAACCAGTCAACAACAACAACAGCAACATCCAGCGCCAATCAACATCAACGCGAGGGATTTGAAACAGGTTACTTCATTCATTCACTTATCTAGCATTGAGCATTGTCTCAACTACAGGAAGTCGGAACGGACTAGCATGTCAAATCGAGCGAGAATCGGGAAGGCGAGAAACACATTCGTCAACCAACCTGAAATCAATCTGGAAATCTTCGTCACTCAGCCAGAATCAACAACAAAATCCAGTCTGATTTTCAATACAAACGTCAAGTCACTCAGCTCTTCTATACGGATCGGATCAGAAACTTGACGGGCAGATGGGTCACAAAGAATATTTCCAACAGCCTGTTGCAGACGTTACCTTTATCAACCAACAACTGTCTTCGCTAGCTCTATACTGAAGATCAGATGAGAGAGACGGGCTGGAAAGAATCACCAACAAGAAACTCTGGCTGGGAACAAACAAACAAAGGAAGAACCAATCGCCAACTAACAAATACGCAGGAGAAAGTGAATTGGGATGAATTGGACACTCACTCGCTGAGGAGGCCGCTGGGTGACATCGCGCGCGCGTGAGGCCATTGCTCGAGTGGAACCAGGCCGAAAGGGAAGCGGCGAGTGAGTCGTCGGTGCAAGGGTGACATGGAGGAGATCGTGTGAAGAGGAGTTGAAACGGTATGGATTAACATGAATGCAGGTGGGAAGTACAGCTGAAGAGAGACAGAAGTGGCAAGTGAAGACGTGCAGTTGAAGCCCTATGTTCCACTAGGAACCCAACAGAACAATAATATTAATGATCAGTCTCCAATCTTCCACACTTTAAACTGCATATATCAACTTGAGTGTGTTTGTGGAAGCAAATACACATAGGTCATACATAAAGGTGATTGTCTACTCGTATGATGAAGCTGAAGTGAAAGCGCATAAATGTTCAATAACAAAGCACCTTTCGGACTACAGACGCTAGTGATAGTGACGCTGTCATGTCATTCACTGATGTCAGCAGACAAACAAACACACAAAGACATTTTTTTGCAATCGCGGAGGCTTGTGCAATTCGAATTAACAAAACCAAGTCTCCGTGTACAAGAGGAAATGGTGATCGCTTCGAATCTACCATTGTTTTACTGATTAACTGTTATTATTATTACTACTAATATTTTATTCTGCCTCTTATTATTACTATTAATGATTCATTTGAAACTATCTTTAATCATGACCGTTATCTTAACTCGTTTCAATATTATTACCGATTATTATTTAGTTCGAAATTCTTGATGTCTTATCAGTCGTACATGTCCCAATGTAATTCTAATGGTATATATATATATATATATATATATATATATATATATATATATATATATATATATATATATATATCCCTGTATTTAAAGTATTCAGCTGAAGAGTTCTACCAAAATTCGATGAATTCATTAAATCCTGTTTTATTAACACCTTTTGTTGTTTGTCTTAAATTCGTATAGGGAAAGAAATGTTTCAAATATCGCTAATCTATCAATATTATTGATTGAATGTTGTTGAAAAAAAACATTAATGCAGTTGATAATGATAATTCTTTGATTATTATGGATGTATAACGGTGAAAAGCCGATGTGAAGACACATTATCTAAAAGAATATTCTTTCTGTTCATGAGTCAGTCTTTTAAAAAATCCAAATATTTTCTCATTCTTGGTGTTCCCAGTGGAATATATACGGTTTCAGTAGCACTCTTTACCGCGCTTACTATCGGCTAAGAAGAGATAGATTGGGAATCGAGCACAGATGACGAACATTTTACCACTGAACCATCAATGACGCAACATAGCGGGGACAAGCTAAGTAGGATTCGATTACCATTTATTTATTTAAACGCAGAAAAAAACTTGGTACAATATGGAACCAAGAAGGATGCGCCACACAATAACAATAATAAAACAACATAGATCAAAAGAAAAAAATACATCAGCACAGAACGGATAAAGAACTTCATCTGGAAGGAAAACAGTCATGCTTAACAAGTTCAAACAGTATTCGTTAACTATCATCGGAAAGGGAAGAAAGAAGGAAATTGCAACACGTGTAATAGCACGCGATAGGTTTCATTGATTGTTTGTTGCTTTATTCAATTAATTGTGTGAGGGCTGAGATACTGCCCGGGCGCCCAGACCGAAGCAGGTGGTTTTATTAAGGGACCACCCCCAGAGCCTTTGACTTGGATTCTAATCCGCAAGGTAGAGGAGCAGCGTCAGCAGCTGCATTCCCATGCTTTCAAGTGGCCCATATGGGTTCATACGCCATTTGATCGGATTGGATACTGGAGCCCATGTACTCCATGGTAACCGCTTTTAGTTTAACCGCTATCCTGACATGGTAGGACCTGCAGGCACAGAGTTCCAGTCAGTTTAGCATGTTGGGTCTTTACGGTATTCAAGCCCGACTACCATGACAAGGTAGCAGTTATCGGCAGAGGCATTATCATTCATCCGCTTGATTAGTGTCCATTGTTATTTTCCATAAGCACAATAAAAGTTATTTGCATAAAAATTACATACTACTGATCGACTGAGGTGAGTAGTTGCATACCACTCATATCAACCAGTAGTGCTTGTCAACTAGCGAGATCCAGGTGATCTAAAAACCGGACGACCGTTTCACTCGTTCGGAGTTGAGCTTATCAGTGGTGCGCCTGGTTCAATTCAGCTCAGAGGGCTGACTGGCTAACTGCTTTGTCGAAATGCCAATACCATAAACCAGATAAAAAAGTTAGGATTTTCTAAAGTCAACAATACATTTATATTTTTAAGTATCACTTTGCGAGGAATAAATAGATTGATTTCAGTTTTGACCGACTATAGGATCACGTTGCCTGAAGTTCTAGTGAGTAGTAGTGATCAGTTGGGTCTATAAAGTTACGCATGAAGAAAGATACTCACTCACAGATGACACTGACTGGAGGTGGTGCCGAAAGTCGCAAACTGGCAGCAGTTAGCATTGATGGGCTATCGAATCGGATTCCAGTAGCTAAATGGGAGAAGAATTCATCTTGTGACCTAAAGCTTTCGGGTTTAAATTCCGATGTGATCATGTTTCAGTACTGCTGAAGAAGAATTACAACCACAGACGAAATGGCTGTTTGGTACTTCCTGGTGTTCAATGATTCGCTGAATGAGGTCAGTGGGTGATCAAAATGGAAGCGTTCTCATAACTCACAAATTAATTAAGGCGACAATTTTAAAATATAAAGTTCATAAAAAAAGCAGAACAAAATCTTATTTCAAGACAATTTCAGGTGTACAGGAAACCCAACACAAACAAATCAGAAGGTGCCAAGAATAACGCTGAAGCAGCGTACAGCTAGAAAAGTCAAGAGATGAAACTATCATTTAAAGTCGTGTGATCACCTTACTAACAGAACACAGGATTGACGAATAACTTCAAGAATTAAGATGAATTCAACCATCATATATCAAAAATGCTTTAGAAATTTCTGACATTTGCGTGTTACCATCATTTGACATTGCAAGTAAATATAATGAAAAAAAAGTAACACGAGCTTTGTGGAAATTAAAGAATGCCATACTGAGAAAAAGAAGAAAGAAATGCAAAGTAGAAAATTAATTGTGAATATTGAAAACAATCATTACGTTGGTCAGTCCTGTGGTTGGATAGTTTAGAAAACTGGTAGGCATTCGTTAGCGGTCAAATAACATGACAACAAGCAAACACAAGTACTTCGAATGACAAAGTAGAAAAAGCATAATCTGACAATGACTCGAAACGTAAGAAAAATATTCAAGTATCAGTTTGTAGGGATTTGATCACTTTCAAATTTGATCAAGGACTGATATCAAAGTTAGAGAAGCATTGAAAAAAGGCGGGTACTAGGCATTTATTACGTCCTCGTTTAGAACTCCCCATCAGCACGCGTACACGACTCCACCGGGGAATGGACTCAAAACCTTCTGGTTACGAGGAGAGCTCGTTGACCGTTTACAGCCATTGGGACGGAATCCGATGGTCTGTCAACTCACGATTTTCGGCTCCACCTTCGATCAATGTCATAGCCACGTGTCTGTCCTCACACCCAACTTTGTGGACGTCACTGGCGACGACTTCCCAGCAGATCTTGAGGCCACTTAGACTTGTAGCCATTCACTAGTGAGCACAAGATTTGATTTTCAAGAGTTAGTTTTGAGGGTTTTGATTAGTTTTAAGTTTGATCACAGGTTGATATCAGTTGACAGAGGTTCTCTAAATGATATCAATCCATAACTGAACATCTATATATGCAGACAGAACCAACTAACTAAGCTGATGGAAATCACGATGAATCACAAAAAGCCAGGACGAGGAAAATATACCCTATTGCCCTTCTTTGCGATATAATGATAAATTATCTTATTATTTTTCATAAAGGTAATGATGAAGGAGTCTAGGTTGATAACGAGACGTTTGTAGTCAAGTAACGAACAGTTTTTATCATCCTTATCTTCTGAGAAAAAATCGTTTCTAACACTTCTTGAATATTCTCTGTTCTAAACTACTCATATTTAATTTAATAAAGTTTACTTTATCGCACACTAAGGTGGGCAACACATTTCTCAGTTATAAATCAATACTTGTGAAAATATAATAGCAATACCAAAAGAGAGCAATAACGCCATAGTAAAAACAAACTAGATAATAGAATATTTATTTATCTACTATTGCCTTGGATTTTAGTGGAACATAGAGCTCCAACAGAAAATCTCCTGTGAACATTCTGTTCTCTGCAGTCCTCGACCAATGGTTCCTCAACTACCCCCTAAGCTGTCAACTCTTCCCTGCACGCTCTTCTCCATGACAGCCTTGGATCCACGCCCAATTCATCGAGACTACGTCCTGCTCGTGATGTTACTCAAAAGTCTCCTCAGCGTGTGTCAAATCTACTTCCATTTCCTTCAGCATATTTGTTGGACAATAGGTTCTTGGTTAGTTAGTCGCCTGCTGAAGAGATTTTTGTTGCTAATCCTTTCTGGTAAACCATCTGATCCTGATTATCGAGACGGAGAAGGTGGTAGATGTCGACGAAAGTCTGTAGCAGCTTACTGGAAATGCCTTTGGTAAATGTGGCTACAAATATGATGTCAGTCCTTCTGTATGCTTCGGACACTTGCACCGCATGTCCCAACAACTAGCTGCAGACTTTTATCAACAGCTGTCCGCTTCGTTGGCTCCATACTGAAGATCGAATTGCCGACCGGTGAGAAAGAATTAGCAACAACAAACTCTGTGCGTCGGTGGCACAGTGGTTAGGACTCTCGCCGACCATGCACATGGTCCGGGGTTCGAGCCCACACCGACGCACATCTGATATCTATGGTCGGCCTGCAAAATTTGGGCTACCGATATCCATGCTGAAAATTCCATACTTGTACCGAAAATACAGTGTGGAATCAAGCTGTAAATCAAAAATAAAAAAAAATAAAATAAAATATGTAGGAGAAAATGGAGATGGATCGTGCATATATTGAGGAAACCGTCGAATGACATCGCGCACAATACAGGTCATCGCTTCAGTGGAATCCCAATGGGAAGCGACGAGTAGGTCGTCGGTGCGAGGGTGACATGGAGGAGATCGTGTGGCGAAGAGGAGATGAGAGATTATGGTCAATTGTGGAGCCAGCTGAAGAGGATAGTAGAGAATAGAACAAAGTGGAGATGTTTTATTGAATTTGAGATTTTCCCGTCACTGAGAAATGCAGGTACATCCAGATGACGAGTCCCAAACAGGACGAAATACGCATCCTGGATTCCATTGCTAGTCGCCATCCACCAATCAAAGTGGAGATGTGTTGTTGAAGCGCTATGTTCCACTAGGAACCCAAGGGAATAATAACAATATAATAATAATAATAATGACAATATTGGACTGTACCACCGATTATGTGGTTCCGGTAATACAGTGCTCCACGTAGTCATCTTTATTTTTGAAATATTGGCGTGTTTCCCGTCGAATTTCCGAACATCACCCTGCATAGTGGTTAAGCAAAGGACAAACAAAATCCATTCGTAGCGCTATTCTGTCTCATCTTGTGGAGACAGAACACAAAATTGACGTCAACCATGCTTTCAGGGTCATTTACCGTATACCTACGAATCACAATTTTGCCTTAAGATTTCGACTACTAAATGTTGCTGAGGCTGTGGGGGATCCATATTAACAATCCTAATTTATGCATCCAAAAGAAGTTAGTTCAGACATTATCATTACCTTGGCCATCCAGGTTTGAATAGTCCTCAATTTTTGTGAAATTTCCCTAATTTTAGTTAATATTCTATTCGCTATTATATCTTTATTACTATTATAATTTAAGTATCTTTAGTGAACTGTAATTCAGTTGATCATACTTTACAAATCGATATTATTTAAAAAACACTAATATTGTTATTAACTACTAATCTAGAATATTCTATGTATATAAACATATATATTGAATTGTAGAGCTGGAAGAGGAATTTATCGAAAAGAATATTCTTTGCTCGATTATTTTGTGTTTTATAGATAGATGTCTGAATGAATATTTTTGCTATATTGGCAATCCTAAGATTATAGATCTTTACAGGATAACATAGACTCTAAAGTTAAGTATATACATAAATATTATATATGACGCTACTCAAATATAAAGAAATACAAAACTCATACAAGTTGTAAAAACTTACGATGAATTACATTGGCTTGTGATAATGCGAAAAACTGAATTCAGCTTGATAATTTGATTTTGCATAAATTTGATTTCAGTGAAAATGTCCAAAGAGTAGTGATTGATAAAATTGACAAACAGTTGTATATTTTGACATAATTCAAATAAGTAGGATATATGTGATAGATAATGAAGAGGCTGATCTGTTTGATCACGATTGTCACTATTAATATTATTGTTATAATTGTCAACTATGCCTTCGCATATAAAACACAATAGTGATGCAAAATTGTCAGCTGAAAACAAAATATTAATAATAAGACTATCAGATAAAATAAAATTGACAAATAAAAAAAAGTTTCTGATGAGATTTAACTGAATTTTAGATTTTCCCATGAAATGCAGGTACATCCAGGTGACGAGTCCCAAGCAGGACAAAATGCATGTTGTCCTGGATTCCACTGTCTGTCTGTCTGTTTTCGACATAGAACTTTGCACAAATGTGCGGAAGTTCAAGTCGCCACACTCCGTGTAGCACGCGAAGCAAGAGAAGAAAGTACAAGAAAAGCATAATAGAAACAGTGAGCAGAGGTGTGAGACAAAGGAGTAATAAAAAAATACAAAACAGTTTCATTGGAAATCATAAGTCACAAGGAGTGGATGCATCTGCGCCACTGAGAACGATTTTTAGCCATGTCACCAATTGTTTCCAACAATTGGTTTTTACCGTCCTGAGGACCCCAGCCTGGAAGTCTACACCTTCCGACGTGGCTTAGACCAACTGTTGTGGATTTCATTGACTGGTGCAGCCAAGTTTTTGTTTGACCGCCGCTAGCTTTTTTCCAGCCTGACCCTATATCCGCTAACATAGCTCGTCGAGGGAGGCGATGGCTTGGCATACGTAACACATGTCCTAACCATCTCAGTCTTTGTAGCTTCACGACTTCGTCGATTGATTTCCCCTGTTGACCTAGAACTCGACGCCTGACTTCAATGTTGCTCACCTTATTATGCCACTTTACACGGTAAATAGAGCGCAGGCACCTATGATCAAACACAGCTAGTCTTTTCATGTCTTCCACTCTCAGTGGCCAGGTCTCACAGCAGGCCATAAAGGAGGACGGAGCGGACTGATGAGCAGTACACCCGCCCTTTGGTCGATAGTCGAACATCTCGTCTACGCCAGAGTCGGCGTAAACTAACAAATGAGAGACGAGCCCCTTGTATTCGTGCTGAGATTTCGTCAGAGAAGTGAAGCGGTCAACGTGCTCTACCACTTCACTTCCTATTTTTAAACTAGGCGTCGATGTAGTCCAGTCCTGTAACATCATCTTGCATTTGGCGGGAGCGAATTGCATGCCAAACATTCGTAGATTGCGGCTCAAGGTGTTTAGAAGACTCTACATTTCGTCAGCGTCTTCGCCTAGAAGGACTATATCGTCTGCATATTCCAAGTCAACGAGATTATTCCCTGGTAGCAAGTCAATCCCTGAGTCACTGAAGTCACCTAGGGTTAAGTCCATTAACACATCTATGATGAAGTTGAACAGAAAAGGGGATAATGGGCATCCTTGACGGACACCACTAGTCGTCACCAGTTCAGATGACAGCTCGCCGTAAGCCCTCACCTGGCTGTATGAGTACGAATAGAGTGCCTTAATCAGTGCAATATATTTTCCACTGCTAGTCACCAACCACCAATTAAGTTTCTGATGAAATTTTGGTGTCATTTTCATTTGGATTTATCCGTTCATGCGTTTAGCGATTCAGAACCATTCGGTCACTTGTTTTTTTTTTATCTTTGAAAACGATGAGACTTCAGATAAACACAGTGTTTTCATCAGAATGACCGATTCACAGCAGACCGTAATGAAGTATTCCGTGTAGCCATGAAACAACCTCATTCGACACTGAAGGTCAGATGGCAGAGCAGAAGGGATAGGCAATCAGAAACTCTGGTAGGTAGTGAACCAGCCAGTTATGCAGATATACAGAGAGAAATGGAGATGGGTTCCGTATACAGTGAGGAGAGCTTCAAGCGACATCATGTACATCTGTTGTGATGGAGTGTTACCGTTTTGTTGGCTGTTGTCAATTTTGACTAGGTTGCGTCTACAGACGCCAGCGGTTCACTTGAAAAATATTCCCCCACACTGAGATAGACACAGAAATCAGATTTAACTGTGAAATCAACGACAGTGACAACAACTTTTATTAAACCAGATATTGGGTATATATATATATATACAGTTTACAGATCCCCTGAAATTCAAACCATATATAGATAATCGATATTTGATTGATTGCATGATTTTGAAGACCCTCGAAAACAAATCAGTCCAGAATTCTCCACTTAGGTTATTATGTCAGCACATGCATCAACCATAACTTTACGGTTAGCAAAGATAGTCAGTCTGTCCTGACGCGTCCGCTTTTTCATAAGTTCTCAGGTTAGGATCCACCTGAATATACTTCTCAGGTATGTATAATCTCTGCGACCATCTTAGTACCGGCAACTGTGGTCCACTTGACTTGGGTTTTTCGTAATTGTTTCTCTGCACAGGATATCCATGGGTGAATTTCCCTGAAACCGGTTGCTAGTACCATCAAAAACTTCTTGTTTCTTGATGTGGTTTATATTGTCTTGACCCAAGGAGTCCTCTGACGCTCACCTTGTATGTCACTGAGCCTGTTTTCTCCTCGGTTATTTCTGTTGTTCATTTAGGTGTAGCAGTTAAAAAATCACGACACCACACAGATTCACTAACGGAGGAATCTTTGAGTATTACCCCATGACGTCTATTGTATTGTTCTTCAATCTTCGTATTACTTGATTTTTTCCCGTTAAGTCTTGGACGTAAATTAACCAGAAAAAAACAAATCTTATGTCCGAATATATGTTCAGCAGATGACAATCCGTTGGCAACCGGTGGATTTGGTATCGATTGCTACTCCGAAAAGAACGTTTGAAGTACTTGTTCTAACATTCCTTTATCCCTTCCTTTCAGAATGATTCGTTTGAGTGCATGAAAAAAACGTTCTGCTTGACCGTTCCACTATGGATGATGTCGTCGATATCGGATATACTCAGTTCTATTTTCCTGGCAGTACTGCTGGAACTGACTTGATATAAACTGCGTCCCATGATCAGTTACAACTATATCAGGTAAACCAAAACAGGAGAATATTCCTCCAGGTTTTCAAACTGTAGGTAACGCAGAAGCATTCTCATATGCACTTAGGATGCATTAGAATTTCTCGACGTCATAAATTACATAAACCTATGAGAAACAATCAAATGCTTTAAACCTAAGATGCGCTGCCATATCAATTCGTCTTAAAAGCTTATTTTGAACTTCATTAAAGGCATATTCACGATCCAATACAAGTTAGAGAACCATAGGAGACAAATGAACACTGAACATTTGTTTCATCCTAGTTTGGAATCCGTTAGAAGTGCGACCTCCAATAACCTCAGTGACCACCGAAGCCAATACCTTCAGATTACGGGTCAACAACGCTAATCATTTAGCTACCGCATTAGAATACAATGATCCATGAGTTTGAAGTTCTGTATATTCACGATATAGAGATACATCGAAATCATTCAAATCCTTACTAACCCAACATTTAACTATCAATCTATTGCTGACTAGTGACTGATTTTAAGACCGTTATCTAGAGGTTCTAATAGGACGTATAGTGATCAGTCGGTCCCACCAAATCAGATGTGTAGCAGTGGCGCAATACCGCGAAGTGAAGTAGATTGAAATTCATAGATCGTTCAGTTCTAATCCAGTGACTCAATGGTAAGCATTCTTAGCATGTAACCTGAAGTCTCTGGAAGCAGTCGCTGGCGGGGTGCACTGCTGAGATAAATGACTAGTGTTTCCTAGTTTTTCATTTTTCTTCGAATGTTGGTTAGTGACACAATTCATATTATCATTATTCAAACTCATTCCAAACTAACATAAGAACACACAAAACCACCTATTTATTATTATTTTATCCTTTAGTTCTGATATGTATCCACATATATATATTTATGTGTGTGTGTGCATGTTGGTCTCTCTTTCTGTTTGCTCGGTTAGTCTGTGACCACTTCACTTGTATGGACTTGTCTCCTTTAATAATGTGTATTCTCCTTATATTATATTATATATAATATGAGTGTTTGTTGACAGTCCGTTGCTTGGTGACATATATCCATATATGTTTGTTGGCATGTCTGCTATATTCGCTATGTATAATTGGATCGACACTCCATTATAATTAGCCATTCATGTTAAGACTGTCTAATGATTTTTCCCACGCTTGTCTGAATTATTTATATATATTCGCATTCACAATTTGTGTGAACTACTTTACTTTACAACTACTTGACTTACTTACCACTTTGGTGTGAGACCATTTATTTTCGTCTCCTTGTGTTTGGACAATAGAAGTATCATCGCAAACCTAGTGGTCTTCTGATTTCCGCCTTCTCGCGTCAGGACTATTAGTTTCTCGACCAGTCCATAACAATAATTCAGCGACGAGTACATAACAATTTGGCGACGGGGAAAACTACTATTAACCACTCAGCAGCAACAACATAACAATTTACTATGGATTATTCTAAATTGGAATTATTGTTTGAACAACAATTGAAATTAATGGAAATGTTCGTCAACCAACAGACTGGTCCAGCTTCACCTTCAAGCAATCCCAATCATACCATGCTACCATCTGTCGACGGAATTGTGAACAGTATTTCACAGTTCAATTATGACCCAGAGGCTAATGTCACTTTTGACACATGGTATCAACGTTATGAGGATTTATTCACTGTTGATCTCGCCTCACAAGACGATGCCTGGAAGGTGCGAGTTTTGCTACGTAAATTGGGTCCGGCAGAATATGAACGGTACTGCAACCTAATTTTACCACAGAAACCACGTGACAATTGTTTCGATGATACAATAAAGTTGCTGCGTGAACATTTCGGAGACCACTCCTCATTATTCAGTATACGTTATCGTTGCCTCAAGCTGGCAATGAATGAAAATGATGATTTTCTTACTCACGTTGGCACAGTCAACCGAGAATGTGAGAGATTTCGACTCAGGTCCTTAACAGATGATCAGTTCAAAGCCTTGATTCTCATATGCAGTCTCCAATCTCCTCGTTTCACAGATATCCGAACTCGACTGCTCAATCAGCTAGAACAAAATCCCAAGTTAACATTACATGACATAGCTGATGAATATCAACGGCTGATTAATCTGCAGAAAGACACACACCTGGTCGAATCAAC